GAGCTCAGCCAAACCCCCATCCTCCGCGCAGCAGACCCCAGGGCCCTCCGACCCCGCACCTGCCAGCCTTCCCTGAAGAGCTGGGTGCAGGCGCCCTGGGGTTGGTGGGGCGACTGTGCCACGCACTTGAGTCCGGTTCTTGGCTCTGGGCCGCTAGGCCTCGCCGCAAACCCCGCTTTTGGGGACGTGGCGGGACTCGGGGGTTCCGGACGCGGGAGATCTGGGCCGAAGGGCGCTGGAGACGAGTTTGCCCACCCCGGGGTTGCATCGGGAGGGTGGGCGCCTTCACTTCCTGGTGACCCTGGTCTGGTTGCCTAACCTCCTTTTATCCCAGTTTTCTTGTTGGCAAATTGGCATCCACCCCAAAGTGTTTCTGTGACTATTAATTGAAATAACGTACATAAGGTGCTTGGCCCATAGCAAGGTGTTTTTGAATTATTATTGAAGTTGCTTGCTCAGAGGTTTAATCTAGACTTAAGGGGAGGGTGAGCCTAGGGTTTGGGTGAAGGAGTCTTGATTTTCAATGAGGAGAGAGGGGTTCTGCTCGCTCTGCACTGGGAAGGGCGGGGCCTGCCCTGTGGGTGGGAGAATGCCAGAGGCCCCTTTCCTAGGGGGTCTGTCTCCTCCCCACTAGGAAAGGTGGGGACAGAATGGCAGAAGGAAAGCCAGATCTGCAAAGCCAAGGCTGAGAAAGCTCACCTAGCATCTTCACTCTAAACCCCTCGCTGCCCCCACACTTCCCCCACCCCCTCTAGTGAGGGAGAAACAAACCCTGAGAGGGGAAGTGGCATTGGCCAGACCAGACCTTCCTAGACTTCCTGTTCCCAAGCCTGGTACAGTGCCTGGCTCAGGAGGTGCTCAGTTGATGCCACTTTCAGAGACGAACCAGAGAAACTCTGAGGCAGAATGCTGGAACCCCCCAGGGGGTCTCAGAGGTCCAGCCCCCTCTCCCAAGGCTTCCTGGACAGGCCCAGGGTCCCATTTTCTCCTGCTCTGACACATGCACAGCCTGATCTCCCCATTTCACCTAAATCCATGCACAGGCGGGCTGAGCTCTGTGAAAACCAAAAGACACAGGAAGTGCTGGGAGGAAAACCACTTCCTGTATTCTGGAGTGGAGTGGCTTTACTGCCTTCCTGATGCTTGAGAGATGGTGCCAGCCCTCCTCCTCCTCATGAAACTCAGGGTCCTTGTGACTTGGATTAAATTTAGCTTTAAAATTTAGCTCTAGAATTCATCTCTCTATCTCATATCCCTCTGAGAGAGCTAGACAGCCTCCACCCTGTCCCCATAATCAGCAACTACCCTCCACCCCCACCCCCAGGCAGCAGGAGATAGTAGCTCAGACCTGACCAATGATCACAAGGTCTGGACCTCCACAGGCTAAAGATAACATCTTGACCTAAGGTAAGTTTCAGCTCCTGAGCCCTACAGAGGGATGACTCCTTGGCTACTTTCCCATGAAACCAGACAGAGGTTCTGCCGACCTCAGAACTGTCCTTAAAACCTGAAACAATTATTTATTACCCTTCTCTCACCTCTGGTCAACCAGCTCCCAGCACGACACCGAACCCCTAACCCATGGTGTCTTGTGATTTTGCCCTATATCATCTGTAACCTACACTGTCAGGGAGTTTGGGCTTTTGAGCGTTAGCTTCCAGTTCTCCTGGGTGGCACCATTCATAGTAAAAATAGCCAATATTTGTCCACTGCAGTTCTTGATGTTTAGTGTTTGGCCTTGCTAGCACCAGGTGGACGGACTGTTCTGTAACACTCATCATAGATTGCATTCACGGGAGGCCTACACCATAAGGCCCTTTTGGATATGTCGACGTAAGAAATGCCGAGATTTTTTTTTAAAGAAATTGTAGAGAATTTTTATGAGTTTATTTGAGCCAAACTGTGGACTATTGCTGGGAATTAGAATCTCTATGTATTGAGATAATGCCCAGGAGAATGGCGGTTTTTTACCTAGTTTTATAAATTACCATTAAAGGAGGAGACATAAGTGGGTTACATGAAATCCATTGGTGATAGATTAGGGAGAAAGTAAAGTGGGGAAAACTCTGGGATTGGATAAAAAAGTAAAATGATAGACACATACTTATTATACATAGGTAGGTACAGGATAGTTAACAGTCAGCAATTAACAAGATAACAATAACAATGAGGGAATTTGTGGTTTTGCCCTGGTGCATTGGTTGTGTCCCGATACAAGTTACCCAGACATTCCAAAGGTATGTTATCATAGATGCAAGAAGACAATAGCCTCAGTTAAGTTCAAAGTTGATCTTTGTCAAGGAAGCTACAGGCCTAGGGAGGGACTACCCA